TCGTACCAATGCAGCTGTCGACGTGTAAAAATGTACTATATACAAATGTGTCCTGTACCTATGTCTCTTTAGAAACTTACTTTTACAATATGTCTCCAAAAACAATAAATTGTTTGTGTTTGAGTACCTGTATGGATTTATGAAGTTTGATATGGTTGTGAAGCAAATTGTAGACTGAACTAAATTGTATAACCATTACTTCCTCCCCAATCTGAATTTTGTAATTTTTTTATTGCATTGATAAGTATAGTGCTCAATTCCTTTGAATTTCTGACCAGCTTTTTAAAATTTTTTCTATACCTGTTTACCCAGAAAGTAGAACTTGAACTGGTATGTAGTCTGGGGGCAACTTTGACTTTCTAGGAAAACAGGTAGAACAGGAGTTATAAAAAGTTGACAACGTGAAGGCGAAATTCATAATATTATTCTTTAGTCAATGCTAGGATATTGTATTCTAGTGTCTAGTGTCTAGTCTTCATGCGTAATGAGTATAACCAACTTTCGTGTTATTGTAATATATTATTATTAAATAAAAACAACAAAATACAATATGCTCAACATACAGTACATGTGCGTTGAATAAATTGATAGGTATAATCAAGTTTTTATGACTTACATACAATTCCCATCTTATCCCAGCTGTCCCTAACGACATCGATTAAGTATTTTGTATATTAGCCCATATTTCAATACCATACCTTTGTCTAGAACTCACTCATTAGTCATTGATATGAATTCAACTGCAGTAAGTAAGAAAAAAAGTCTCGTACCTATTCAATATACTTATTTTAATTCATTAATATTTTAATAAATCTAACCAATAATTTAATAATTTCTTAACATCAGCATTATGTGGTTTTTTACCCTGTCTACACTCTAAAGCACCTAAATTTAGTATTGAGCTTAAACACAATGATGATAATTAAAATTAATCACAATTTTTAAAATATATTTAAAGTTGTTAGGCACGTCAGTAGAAGAAATGGATACCATTCAGGCTTCATCTTGTGAAAATAACAAAAATAATCTCAAGCAAGTTCTGAAATCAAATGACTGTGAACCAACTAATTTTAGGAATGAATCACACTCTGTAAGAATACTAGAAGACTTACAATCCCAACGCAAGTATGTTAACAATGATTTTACTATCATTCAAAATAAATATGAGTAACACATTTTTGTTTTTAGAAAAGAAGTTTTATGTGACATTAGACTTGAAGCAGATGATGGTAAAATTGTAATTGGACATAAAAATGTTTTAATAGCAGCTAGTCCATATTTCCGTGCAATGTTTAATAATTTTGATGAGAGCAATAAAGATATTGTTAATATAAGAGAATTAGATTCCACCATTTTACTACTATTAGTAGATTATATCTATACTGGAGAAATTATGGTCACAAAAGAAAATGTGCAGGTACCTATAATTAAATATCAATTAAATATTTAATTTTATATAGACTTCAAACAACATAAATATCATTTTAAGTGAATTTTTTTTTGATTTCTAAGGTGTTATTACCAGCTGCAAATGTATTGCAGTTAGATTATTGTGATATCTGTAGCGTCATTATCGTTATCGATAATGGTGTACCGCGACCGACCCGTGTGGCTAGTAATATAATATGTGGTCTATCAGTGTTTGTTGCGAAGTTGCGTCGCGAACTACTGTTAATTTATGTAATGAATAAACGTATGTATATTATGTATATCTGTTTAGTTATTTAATATATATATGCAAATACTACATTGGCGACGAAGATAAAAGGATGACGTCATATATGGGCAGTTTAGCACAGTTTAACGTCGATGTCGACAGCTGGAAAATATATCAGGAACAGTTAGAACAATTTTTGGAAGTGAATAAAATTAAGGCTGATTTAAAAAAATCGGCATTCATAAGCTGTATTGGTCAAGATGCGTACAAGTTACTACGGGATTTGTGTACACCAGATCTACCAAAAAATAAAAGTTTTGAAGAATTGTGCACGTTGATGGAAAATCATTTTACTCCGAAAATAAACGTTTTCCGGGAGCGAAATAATTTTTATATGGCCAGTCAGCAGGAAGGAGAATCAGTTGCGGATTTTACGGCAAGAATCAGAAATTTATCAACCAATTGCAATTTTGGTGGTGACAAACTTGAAGGTATTTTAATCGACAAATTTGTTTTCGGATTAAAATCGGGAAAAATTAAAGACAGAATTTGTGAGGAAAAACCAACCAGTGAAACGACTTTTTCTCAAATCGTCGAAATTGCACTAGCAAAAGAAACTTACTTGGTCAACGAGACAGACCAACTAAATTGGATCAAAAACAAAAAAAGTCAACAAGTTCGTCAGAAACATTACACGTCGTCGACGGAACATAAACATGCTGGTCCGAGGTATGCGGAACACGGTGATCGATGGGTAAAAAATACAAGTGGCCAAGGAGCGCAAAAACATGGGCAATTTCAATCGAACGGAGGCAGCAAAAATTTCAAGGGCAAGGATCAAGGTGTCGGGGCATTAGAGAAAAGTCAATGTAAGGTGTGCGGTAAACGACACACAGGTATGCAAAATTGTAGATATAAAAATTACCGTTGTAATTTGTGTGGTACTATAGGACATTTGGCTAGGTTATGTAACAAATCGAAAACTACAAATTTTTTGAATGTAGAGTCGACAGAAAACGATATTCATGAAAGTGTAATTTATAACATACAAACGAACGAATTAAAACCGATTATTGTAGACATACAAATCAATAATATTAAATTAAAGGCACAATTAGATTCAGGTTCAGGTTTAACAGTAATTTCGGAAAAAACATTCCGCGAATTATTCGACACAAACATAATTTTAAAAAAGATTTTTAAAAATGATAGCGGCTATACAGGTGAAAAAATTAACGTTTTAGGTTTCTTTTTAGCAGACATGTGTTTCAGAGGAAAGACTTGCGAATTTTTTAAAATTTTTGTTGTGGAGAAAGGAGGTCCAAATTTAGTAGGCAGAGATTTCATGGAAAAATTTAACATAAAATTAACCAATATTAATATGTTAGATGATACCGAAATTAATTTGAAACAATTAAAAAATAAATATTCAAAATTGTTTAATGATGACATGGGTAAATTTGTGTATGAAAAATTTAAGATTAGGTTGAAGGATGATGCTACGCCAATATTTTTCAAACCAAGACAGATTCCGTTTGCGTTTAAGGACAAGGTAGAAGAACAGTTATGCAGATTAGAGAAATTAGGTGTAATTTCCCAGGTTGAGTCGAGCGAATGGGGAAGTCCGTTAGTTCCAATTTTAAAAAGTGATGGAAAAATTAGATTATGTGCGGATTACAAAGTCACGGTTAATAAGTTTGTACAGGACGTTAAATATCCGTTACCTAGAATTGAAGAAATTTTTCAAAAAGTTAGTAAAGGAAAAAAATTTAGTAAAATTGATCTTAGTGAAGCGTATAACCAATTAGAGTTAGACGAAGAGTCTTCGAAAATTTTAACGTGGAGCACTCACAAAGGGCTTTTCAAAATACATAGGTTGCCATATGGTGTCGCGCCGGCAAGCGCAATATTTCAAAAATTAATAGAGCAACTTTTCCAAGGTCATGAAGGTGTAGCTAATTTTTTGGATGATATTATAATTACCGGGCAAAACAATAGGGAGCATTTAAAAAATTTAGATAAAGTATTTAACATTTTGTATGAATCTGGTTTTAAAGTTAAATTATCGAAATGTGAATTTTTCAAAAGTGAAATTGAGTATTTGGGTCATATTATTTCAGCGGAAGGCTTACGCAAATGTGAAAATAAAATTAGAGCGATTGTAGACGCGCCAGCACCTTGTAATATAACTCAAGTAAAATCATTCGCGGGTATGGTAAATTATTATTCCAAATTCTTACCGAACGTTTCGATTATTATGAGACCTATTTATAATTTACTAACGAAGAACAAACATTTTAGTTGGACTCGGGACTGTCAAATAGCTTTTGATAAAATTAAGGAATTGATTATTTCAGATAATGTTTTAGTACATTTTAATTCGAATTACCCAATTATTTTGTCAACGGACGCATCTAATGAGGGTATCGCGGGTTGCTTATCGCATATAATGCCGGACGGCAGTGAGCGACCAATTAGTTTTATCTCAAGAACATTAGTGCCGGCGGAAAACAACTATTCCGTCACTGATAAAGAGGCTTTAGCAATTTATTGGTCGGTCAGGAAATTATTTCAATATTTACAAAATCAAAAGTTTACTATTAGAACTGATCATAAGCCATTAATAATTGGGATTTTAGGAGAAAATAAAAATATACCGACCATGGCTTCAGCAAGGTTTCAGAGATGGGCAGTTTTCTTGGCCGGATTTCAGTATACACTCGAGTATATCAAGGGAAACGATAATTGTACTTCGGATTTACTATCGAGATTACCTATAAAAGGGAAATATGTCGTTTCGGTTGATAGTGAACCGCAGAGCACATATATGGCATTTATTGAATCCGAGTATTTTCCGATAAACCATAATACGATTAAATTACAATCTAATAGGGATAAAGTCATTAGCAAAGTATACTATTATGTGACTCATGGGTGGCCGAAATCGATTAGTGATGATATCAAGCCATATAAGGACAGGCACACCGATTTATCTGTTGAGCAAGGCTGTTTAATGTTAGGATACAGAGTGGTAATACCGAGTAAATCACGTAAACAAATTTTAGACGAGTTACACAGTACGCATTTAGGTATAGTAAAAATGAAAGCAGTTGCGAGATCGTATGTTTGGTGGCCTAAGATTGACGCACATATAGAAAATTTAGTTAAATCCTGTAAGTATTGTATGCAGTTAAGACAAAATCCAAAGAAGTCAGAGCTAATTCCATGGAGCAGACCGAGCGGTGTATGGCAGAGAATACACATAGATTTTTTCGGTCCGTACCATAATAGTTATTTTTTGGTAGTTTTAGATGCGTATTCGAAGTGGTTGGAGGTAAAAGAGATGAGAAAAATAACGACGGACAACACTATTGTGGAACTGCGGGAGATATTTGGTAGATGGGGGTTACCTGTAACATTAGTGTCGGATAACGGCGCTCAATTAACGTCACATATATTTACAACGTTTTTAAAAAGTAATGGCATAGTTCACTTACGCACAGCTCCGGGACACCCAGCTACAAACGGTGCGGCAGAAAATGCGGTTAAAACAACAAAGCATGCCTTATCAGCTGCTTTAGCGGATAATAAAAATAAAAATGTACCCAAATCAGTCATATTAAACAAATTTCTATTAGGTTATAGAAATGCGCCACATTCTACTACAGGAGAGTCTCCGTCAGTTTTGATGTTGGGTAGGAAATTACGTTGTAGATTAGATTTATTGTATAAATCGGATGAGGAAGTTGTGCGTGAAAAGCAAGATAAGTCAATTAAAAATTACAATGGCAGTCAGAATAAAATATTTAAGGAAAGTGACGAGGTGATGATTAAATTTTACAAACAAGGGGGTAAGGAATCTTGGATAAAAGCTATAGTGAAGAAAGTACTAGGTACTAAGAGATATGAATGCGAATCGAACGATGGTAAAACATTTATTAGACACGTTGATCAAATTATTGATGCTACAATAGTTGAAACGGACTCACAAAAATATGATAGCGAAAATGAGGTAGTTAATTCCACGGTTAGGAACGATAATAAAATTAAAAAAAGAATGATAAACGTACCAAGCAAATTAAAAGATTTCATTTTAAAATAAAATCATTAATTGTATTTAGTTATGTGTATTCTATTATTCTCACTTGATATTTTGTATAATTATATATATGTAAAAAAAAAAAAAAAATGTAATTATATATTATGTAAAAAAAAAAAAAAATGTAATTATTGATATGTAAAAAAAAAAATGTAATTTTATTTTTCTGTATGTTAATTAATAATTCATTACTTTTCATTTGAAGTACTTAATCAAATTTTTGTAGTAGTTTGGTTTCAATGGGGAGGTGTGATATCTGTAGCGTCATTATCGTTATCGATAATGGTGTACCGCGACCGACCCGTGTGGCTAGTAATATAATATGTGGTCTATCAGTGTTTGTTGCGAAGTTGCGTCGCGAACTACTGTTAATTTATGTAATGAATAAACGTATGTATATTATGTATATCTGTTTAGTTATTTAATATATATATGCAAATACTACAATTATGTAATTGGTGTATGTGCTGAGTTTTTACAAAAACAACTGAATCCATCAAATTGTTTTGGTATCAGAGCGTTTGCTGACTTACATAACTGTACTGATTTGCTGTTAATTTCTGAAGCATATAATAAACAAAACTTTTTGTATGATTAACATTTTTTAATTCTCTATATCAAGTGTAAGTAGGTAATTTATTTTAAAAATAATGATTATTATTTCCAGAGAAGTAGCTAAAGGCGAAGATTTTCTATCCTTATCTTCTGATGATTTGGTGAAGCTTATTTCCTCTAATGACCTTGCTGTTCCATTTGAAGAAAAAGTAAGCAAACTACAAATTGTATTTTTAATATTATGTATGGAAAATCAACAAATAAAGGTGGGCAAGTATACAGTACAGTTAATGTCTAGACTCTACAGGGATCGCTGTATCAGATGTGTTATATTTGAATTCAATGATATAAAATCATTGTAAGCGAAAAGGATTCTGAGCTCTAAAGGTTTAATAATATTACCAAGTATATTTTATGCTATGGTTGATAAACTAATTTATTTTACTATTAGACATTAGTAATACTGTATTTCTGGAGCAGTTTTAATTATTTTTCCAAAAAAGGTGCATATGAAAAGATCATTGTGTGCATACAATATAACAATATACTTTAAAATTTTAAGTTCCTACAAATAATATTTTTAAACTAAATAACTAAAATCAATAAAGCTTGATTACCATAGAAAATAATTGTATTGACTGTTATTGAAAATAAACAATAACATGTATTATTTTAAATGTCTATAAATATTAAAAAACTCTAAAATAGTTAAAACGTTTTTTCAAATTAGTTCAAATCAATTGTATCTCCTTGATGATAAAGAAGTTTTGCGGTCGGCTCCGGCTGTAATTAATTTTCTTTAACTTTCACCTCCACGTACCACATTGATTAGTCAGTAGGCCCAAACAATTTCGCAAACGCAGCACATAAACCTTCTACTGCATGTCTATATTGTGATTTATGTGTATTCAAAAATAACAAATAATATATATTATTTAATACCATAAAAATATAAGAATTATTAATTAATATTCCTTTGCTTAATATAAACAGTAGGAATATATGATCTTAAAGATCTATTATATTTTTGGGATCCTGTGATAATTATACACTATTGAATGGTTGAACAAACTATTATTATATCCTAATCTAGTTTTAAATATTTTTTATTGTAGGTATTTGAATGTGTTATCAAATGGGTAAAACATGATTCAGATCATAGAATAGATTTTTTGCCAAAACTAATGGAACATGTACGTTTGCCATTACTAAAGCCTGATATATTATTTAATATATCTGAAGAACCTCTTCTAAAAAATAGTCATAAATGTATGTTATTTTCATAAATATGCCATCATTATGGATTTATACATTTTATGAATTATTATTATAATTTTTTTAGGTAAAGATTATATAATCGAAGCATTCCATTTTAATCATCAAAAATCAGTTCAGCATTTCACCATTCCAAAAACAATTAGGTTTAAACATAGACAATTTGATGGTTTTCAAAAAGTATGATTCCAAATTGATTAATTTATCTTCACAATAATTTTGTCGATTTAATTCTATTAGATTATTCTAATGTTCAGTAAGTCTAATACATCCCCAAAATGTTATACTGAATGGTATGATACAGCAACCAAGCTAAGAGAGAATGCACCAGGAATAAATGAATGTCGGATAGCTGCTGGTTTTGGTGTAATACGTGATCAATTTGTGTTTGCTGTGGGAGGTGTAAATAGATCGAGTTCTAAATCTGTTAGTATGATTGACGTATCTTCACAATCACCATCATGGGTTCCAATGGCTGACATGTTAGTTAGTAGAATGGATTTGGGAGTTGGTGTATTGGATGATTGTATATATGCAGTAAGTTAAATCAATATTTTTTTATTTTATATTATAAATGTATATTATTTGTAATTCTAGGTTGGTGGATGTGACGGCTACAGTGTTTTAAAAATTGTAGAGGTTTTTGATGTCATTACCCAAAAATGGAGAATAGTGTCTAGTATGACAACTGAGAGAGATAAATTGGGCGTTGGTGTACTCAATAATCATCTATACGCTGTGAATAAATATATCATATTATTATTTATTTTACATTTTATTTAATTAAATTGTGTAGGTTGGAGGTTATAATGGTAACCATTTGAAATGTGTTGAATATTATGATCCCACACTTGACATATGGACTCCGGTTGCAGAAATGTCTGAGTGTCGTCAAGGTGCTAGTGTAGGAGTCTTGGATGGACTTATGTACGCAATTGGTGGCTATAATGGAAAGTATCTTAAAAGTGTTGAGGTTTATAGACCAAGTGATGGAGTTTGGTCTTCTATAGCTGATATGAATTTATGCCGATTTTGCCCTGGTGAGTAGTGACTATGATAATTATATTTTTTAGGACGACCTTTGTAAAAATATATTGAATTTAAATTACATTATCTTATAGGAGTAGCCGTATTAGATGGTTTATTGTATGTTTTTGGTGGAGAAACAGGATCTATTGTTGATACTTTTGAAATTTACAACCCCAACACCAACACTTGGACCTTGGAGAGATTGTCAAGAAATGGAGTACGAATTTATGGTGCAATTGTTGTCAATAGACCACATCATTATCATTAATCATCTTACAGAAGTACTCATTTTTAATAGTAATATGAACATATTTTTGTATAAATTATGATGACACGTGTATTGTTTTAAATATTTTTGTTTTTTTGAATACCTATTTGATAAAAATGTTATTTTATAATTTATACTGACTATTTTCAAATAAAAAAAATAAACTATAAAGTTAATTATATTGCATTATATCAGTAAAATTATATCTATAATCTATTTTTTGAATTATATCTCTTAGTTTTTGTATGGAACTTTGTAGTGTGTACATGTTAAAAATGTACTTGCAATTTGTTGCAAATGGTTATTTCATCATTTTATATACATGATAAAATATTCAAAATATTTTGACTCGTATTAGGAGATTTATAGATGTTTTGATTTTTTTTTTTTTAGTTTATTTTCTATAAATGTTAATAATAATGTTAGTGTTGGGACAGAAAGCTTAAATACCTATTTAATTCTTTGTTCCTCATACGTTGTTATGGTAACAGTTTAAAAATGTTATTAATGTATGAGCACAATTTTTTTATAAGCATTTTACTTCAAACTTTTAAAATACTATGCTGTTAAAAACGTATAAATTGTTCAATTTGTATAGCTAAGGTTTCTACTTTCCTGTTAGTAATTTATATTGTACCTAAAAACTCTAAAAAATGTATAAACCCAGTTTTTTTTGTGATAGATATTTTAAGTTCAAATTTCAGGCGATACTTCACAATTAAATAATGAGTCACTATTTTAGTTGTTATGTAGTAATTAAAAAAAAAATATTCATGAATTGGGCAATTGATATTTTAAAGTATATTATTATATTTTTTACCCTTCATTGACATTTTCAAATGCAATTTTTCCATTTAATCTGATGTACCTTAAATAATGCTTCAATTTAATCTAATTGATACACTTCTGACCATGGGTGGACATGGCCGGCGGATTACCGGGAACTTTCTTTTTAAGTTGCTGTTCAAAATAATTTGTTAATATATATTAATTATAATAAAATTCGGTATAAATATAAAATATAAAAATTTTGTATTTTCGTAATATAACTCTTGAGTGTTCATTTTTGTTAAATTGATTATTTTAGGTTTTTGAGACTTTAGATTTTGGTTCAGCTAATTGTCCTCTTCCTTCGGCATCAATGCATCATCAGAAATTATTATTTATGAGTACCTAGGGCGCGGATTTAAATATAAATTGTATTTTTTTCTGAATTTCTTAAAGCATTGCTTTCCTAGCAATTCATGATCACGTTCCACTATCATGATTCAAGATAGACTATTGGACACATCAATTTATCAACATGGAAAGAGATACCTATGGGTAGTTAGTAAAATACTTATGATAGTCCTTAATAAATGTCCACTGTAATTACATGTTTCTATTATAACTACCTACAGTTACAGTGAAACTTCAATATGACAAACTATTTCAATTTTCAATTAACAAAATTGTTGAATAAATTTTTTTTAGAACCAAATGTATTTTATTTTACAAAATTCTATTCAGATTGTTTTATGTCCGTGAAGCCATGAGACTTAGTAATAATTAGGTACTAGTATGAAAGTTTTACTGTATATATTATTATATTTTAACATAAGACAAAAAAACATTACCTATTTAATTTCCATAGATCGTTTTAATTATGGCTGTGAGTTTAATGCAGTGAAAGACCTTAAACGATGCATTAAAACTCTAAATAAATTCACTTTAAAATGCACTAAACATATACCTATTCTGAAAAATAATTAAAATTTTAAAACTTATTTAAATCTATCAAGCAGTATTAAAAGGATGTCACACCCGCATGTGTTGTCCTCGGCTTACAAATGTACAACATTGCAAAAACTGTTTTGCGCGGGATAACTTTTATCTTTCTGTGTTTGTAGTAGTGGCTCAAAAATTTCTCAACATATAGGATGGAAAATTATCTATGCAACAGCTTGCCCATATTTAAGATAACACAAATACAATAAAAGTTATTGGCTTCTTTGTTTTTTTCTTTTGCTTAATAAAAATGATTGGATAGTGCTATTAAAAAAAATTTCCCCGTTGCACGGAAAAAGTTCTTCTTTACGTGTTGTGAATATTTTTTTAGATCTACAACAAATATGATGCGAGAAAAGTGGTCCCGTGAAAAATAGTTTTAAAAGCGCCAGGAAAAAAAAATAAAAATTAAGGAAAAATGGCAATTTTTAAGCAAAATAGGTTTTTCACAAAATTAATTTTGGTTTTTGGTGTAACTCTAAAACAAATAATTGCAGTTACATGCAATTTTTTCTGAATGTTTATATAAGAATTTTCTATAGGTACACGATTTCTATAGGTACACGATAAAATGTTCAAAATAATTTGACTTGTTCTGAATGGTTTACCTACGGACATTTTCAGTTTCCAATTTTTAAGTTTTTTTCTATAAATGTCAATAACATTTTAAAGCTTGAACATTTAATTTTATATATTGTTACAATATCAGTTGAAAAATATTAAAAAATACAGTCACAATTTTTCTTAGAAGCATTTAAAGTTCAAATGTTGTTAAAATAGCGATTTTCTTATTTTGTTGTAATTTATAAACACGAATAATTGCATATTTTTTAAAATGTCCATGATTGTTATAAAAATATAGTTTGTATTTTGTTTCGGATTGCCTACCTAGGTGGCTAACTTGAAAGTTAATCGATTTTGACTTGAGATGACTGACTTGCTAGACACTCCAACACGGTTTTCGACTTTACACTTTTTACATAAGAAAAGTCACCGGACATGCGAAGGCACATACCACTCTATGTGATTTACCTACTATATATAGGTGATAGGCGGATTACTCATTTTAGATTCGTCTTAACGGTGATGATTGACTTGATAGACACTTTAACATGCAGGTTTTTGAAATTTTTTTTAAATTAATATATACACTATAGATACATGTTTATAATATGTATTGTATTGGTTAATATAATAGTATGTATCTAACTATCTACCTACCTATATGTTGATTTTTTTTAGGAATTATAATTGCACATTTCTCAAAATGTTCATTGTTATATTATTATATCACACAATAAATACATATCATATTTGTTTGTATGTATATTGTATATAGTTTGAATTTTTCGTTAATTATTTCGTAAGTTGTGTGATAGGGTTTTAACTTATAGCCGTTTGACGTCGGGTCTGCAATCCACCACAGGTGGATTGCCTACCTGATTTTCTGTAGCACATTGTCCGCGATCCGACGAAGTCGTATTGCTTACCTAAGTGGCTAACTTGAAAGTTAATAGATTTTGACTTGAGAGTTGAGATGACTGACTTGCTAGAAACTCCAACATGGTTTTCGACTATACCTACACTTTTTACATAAGATAAAGCACCGGTCATGCTACGGCACATACAACTCTATGTGCATGTATACTCTATATAGCCATATAGGTGATCCTGGAGATCGTATCCAGCCTATCCATGTCCAACGTTTGTGACGGATTGCTAGACGCTCAAACTTTTAACATTCCCGCCAAAGCGCCTGGCCTTATCTCCAATCCATATCACTAATCCTTATCACAAATCCTAAACTTTCGTCTTACAACCTTTGCGACTTCTATAATATTCATTGTCTCCAAAATCGGTACCCACTCCCAGCGAGTCCAACGGGTCCCGAGTTACACTTAGAGCTAGTTTTATATAATATTTAATACTGAAAAGTTTTTTATAAACTCATAATATATGTTGAATTTGATTGTCAGCAGTGGCGCCGAACCCATGCATTAGGTGTGGGACCGGCCACACCTATTTTAAGGGGTGGGTGTACCCCCAAAATTGGTGGATAATCGTAATCCTAAGTAGGTATAAAATATATTGTACAAATATAAGAAAGATGGCTTTCTAGTGTGTCGTAGCGTGCAGTGTGTGTCTACTGTCTACTGTGTGATAACGTTAGAAATATAGCCAATAACTAATTAATAGTTTTACCATTAATAAATAAATTCTAGTATTTATAATCAATAGTATTGTGTAAAATTACTACCAAAGAAAAGTTAAAAGAAAACTTTACCAGAAAGTCACGTTAATTTGTGTTGAGACTTAACCAGATAAATGTATATATAAATTGTATGCTGTATTCTGTCAAAAAATCATCGGTACCTACCTAGTAAAAAAATGTTATACCCTCTCGAATAAGTTATTGGGGCAACACAGAAAACTATATACCACGGTCCTTACAAAACATAAGCTTTACGTTATCTACATAGTACGCTAAAACTCTTAAGTTATATTCATATTATAACCTCCCTACATGGCTACATGAAAAGCAAACAATTTTCTTTCATGAAATTGTTTTCTTAGAATAGTGCATAGTGTATTACCTCTGATGACTTGTCGTGACTCGTGATCGATAAACGCAGAGGCGTGACAAAAAAAGTAAGTGTGGCTCGTCCGGGAAGACAATTTCAGTCTTTAGTGAAATGCGGCCCACGACTGCGGCAAGTAACAGATACCTACCTGAAGTGCCTTCAATGACGTACGTGTGTGAAGTTGGGGGACTATAGCTAGGGGACTATTTACTCGGACGACAAGTGATAAGAATCCTTGTTATATAGGTACCTATTATTATTATTATTATTTTTATTTTTTATTAATTGACCCGGGGCAACTTAGGCCATTGGGTATGGTTTTTAGCTTGGGGAGTTTAATGTAAATTTTAAACACTTGTGTTAATAAATCTATACCACGGTACTTTCAAAACATAAACTTTAGATTACATCTTATAGATATTCATATTATAACCTACCTGCATGACGCGCAAACAATTTTCTCTCATGAAACTGTTTTCGTTGAATAATCTGGTTGTCGCATATAGATCCCTGCATAGTGCATTACCTTTGACGACTTGTCGTGATTCGTGATCGATAAACGCAGAGACCTGACAAAAAATAGTATGTGTACGGGAAGACAATTTTAGCCTTGTGTGAAATAAGGCCCTCGACTGCGGCTCGAGCCACACA